GTGCCAATTTGTAGCACAAATATAGTTTAGAAATCTTTAATTTTAGAACTTATGATTCTATATGTAAAAAGTTTCTATTTGAATATTATATAAATAAAAAATATATATAAAAAAAAAAAAAATGTATTAATATGTTTGCAGTTAAGATAATAGTAAAACTTAAATACAAAATTCTTTATGAAAGATTAGTTAATGTTACAATATTTAAAAAAATCAAACAAGCAATTCAAGAAAATATTCACATAGATTTTGTGTAATTTAGAATATATTTTTATAGAAATTTGCTATTGATTACTAGTAGTGATCATCACCAGTGTTATATGATTAGCTATATACAGTGTAATTTTTAGACTATGTGACCAAACCTGTTATACTGTATTACTGATATTTTGCAACCAAACTTGTTACCATATCAACTTAGGGTGTAGATTAAAATTTTGGTTTAAATTAAATTTAAAATTTTAATCTACAGTATCATAAATTATTATAGATAACCTACCACCTTAATATTATCAGACTAAAAAAATATACAAATTATAATAATAACAGTAAACACTTAGTGAAGCTTTTAGCTTGGTAATGCTAGAATATAATAGACAGCTCAGGTGTATTACATTTAATAATTAAAACCTATTACTATATATTGCAGGAAAAAGATCTAAGACTTTTTGCTTGTTTTGTATAACATATATAAATCACCAGTAATTAGATTAGATCTCTTAGATTCTTGATCCTAATATAAATTCAGGTCTTAACTAGCTTGTCTATTATTATAGAATAATAATCAGTAATCATACGTAGCATCGAAATTTGATTTAGCATAGTAATTAACCAAATAATAAGCAATACTAAGTAATACAAAGCAAAACTATATATACTAAATATGAGTTTTGACATGAACTTTAACCAGTTCAGTTCTATATTATTTAACACTACTATGTGATTTGTTCCGGTTTGTACTATTGATTTATCAAGACATAGCATATATATGGTCAATGAATTATTAAGACAAAAAGTGATTTACTATATAAGTTGCATGTATTACAGAATATCACTCATTTTTAGATGTGCTCTAGTTCATAACTATTATAATCTTCTAATTATTTTTCTTATCAGCTAAATCAGACTTATATTGATTGTATTCTTTAATATTGTGACCTTTTTCAAAACAATAACTACAGATTTTGGAAGATGAAGATATATGTTGAACATTATTTTCTTCTGTTAAAGACTTGAAATGCTTTGGAAGATGACTTTTTGGCTTATAGTATTCTGGATTTGATTTGTTTGGAGATTTTTGAGTTTTATCACTTAAGTAACGAACTTCTTCTATATTCAATTCAGTATTTCTATGATATTTCATGATAAATTCCATAAAAAGACCAGTAAGTTCTGGTGTAGCACCTTCTTCCACAGCAAATTGAATACTAATCTTTGTCACTGACATCGTTGCACTGAATTTGATCTTATTATTAACATTTTCTTTAATAGTAGATGTATAATTATTTGCAATTTGTATTTGATTAATATAATGTAATGACTTAGTAGTATAGGTTTTTGTTTTTTGAAAAATCGTAATATGATTAGTTGTTTCAACTGGCCAGACTCAAACCAATGAGTGTAAATAAAACCTATATGGAAAATAGCTTTACTAGACTGAAGAAGAACTCTATACTGATGCTGACAAGGCATTTCTTGATTAATAATATATATACACATACAAAGTGATGTCGAATCACTAAGAATTACTATATAATGTAGCTTTGAAGTTGAAAGCATTGTAGCAATATAATAAACTTCCCAAATTTCTTGGATTTCATCATTATTTATATCAGATAAAAGATCATGTAGCCTAATTTGTGGTGTGTTATAAATATGTTCAACTAAATCTGTAGATTCAACATCAAATTCCTTAATCTGATCAATTGTGATCATTGCTTCTTAATATAATAATGACTGCTGTATTTGGGTTCTCTGAAGTGACAGCAGAATGAGAGCTAAATGATCTTTTAGAACAGAATCAATGTTTTTAAAAATGGTATCGTAAGTTAAAGAAAGGCCAGTTGAAAGATTTGACCCATAATAATTTCTAATTCTACTATATTGTGCCACTTTCTCAAGTTCATCCTCGATTACCTTTACTAATTTCTTTAATAAAGTTCTTTCGATCCAGATGCTTTTTAAGAATCCCATTTATAGCTTCAACATGTTGAGTTGCCTCAACTCCTGCTGTAAACACCTTTGCAGTAGAATATTTTGCCTATGACTCACAACTAGGATAGAGTTTTTTTTTAAGATAAGACCAACATGGCTCATATTTTCTTAACATTTCATTATATTTCACTTCAAACTGATGGTAACTATAACTATTACATATATGGTAAAAATCCTTTATGAAAACTGTTAACCATATCACCACATAACTTGGCTTTGGCTTTTTTTTTACATTTTCTATTATATGGAACATGCATAACAAGTAACGAGTATTTGAATAAGCAATTTGAATAGCAGCTGTCATTGCTAGATCATTATCTGTAAACAATACAAAAGGGGAAAGGTTATTGGTCACTTTTAATAAACAATCTAGTACCCAACAGTGGTCAGCCTGTGTTTTATACTTTGTTAAAGCTTGAGTGAGAATCCTTGTCTTAAAGTTTTTATTTATGCCAACAAACAAACTGAGAGACATTTTATACCGATTGGTCTTTGCTGTATTATCGTGAATGACTATTTCATGAAATTTAGGTTAAAGTTCATTTTTTTGTTGACTCGTCATCCAAAACAGCACAGTAAGTTCATTAAATGATCCTTCTAAACATGAAACAACTACATAATCATTATCATGATTGCATAACTTCATAAGATACAAAAACATTGTTAAAGCATCTAACTCATCATGAACCTGAACTTCTCGAAACTTTTGAATTGCATTATATAGGCCCTTCTTCTTAATAATGTATTGAAGAAACTCTTTAACAAGAAGATCATATTGTTGTCCAGTGCCCAAATGACCATTAATAGTATAATGTTCAATTTTAACCAAAATCTTCTGAGGAATACATGAGTTTTTGGATGTTAGATTTATAGTTACTGGGTCACATTCATGGTTATGACTATTGTCAAATATTGTGAGATCTATTACAATAGCTTTTTTTTTAAGATAGAAGCTTACTTGTCACAAACAGTTCGTCCTTGTTAAAATGCCATCATGGTGTAAACTAATGTTCTCTACTTTTCTTGAATTACTAGTTCCAACTTTCTAACAACTATAAACATGATGACGAACAATATTTTTATCAACAGAATCAAGGTCTTTATGAAATTTAATAACAACAAATCTATTTCGTTTTGCATACATATTAACTGCATTATCAACAGCATCCCAATCTCTGAAAATATCACCAACTTTTAGGTTTGTTTCAATTATATCATTCTCTGTATCACTTTCATTTGTAATACTTTCTTTATTATCAGACAAAATATTTATTTCTGTCATTATATCTATGAGCACAGAATTAGATAAATGGTTTTGGTTATTGTAGTTGTTCATATGCTATTAATAAGAGAAGTATTTGTTTGTGTATTTTATAATGTTATGACTTGGTCTATTTTTTAGGTAATATAAATACTGTAGTAATTCAGAAGAAGATTGGTGAAAAGAAAGTGTTCTCAAGTGTAAAAATTGTGATTACTAATGTCAACGATAGAATCTTTATTAACAAACAATTGTTTAAACTCTGATAAAGATAAACAATAGGAATTATATTAATTCATGACAATGTTAACTTTGATATTAAATAAGTGGTTATCATGCATTTATATTACAATGCTATAAAGCTGGTAATCATAATTTTTTTATCTTTATTCATAATCATGTGTTTAACTTAAACTACAAGATAAGATATTAATTTTTTTGAATTAATAATTACGTGACTTGATTATATGCTTATTTATTCTATGTCATACTAAAATTGGTAATTTGTGCTTATTATAATTTTTTTTTTTTTAAATATTAACAGTAAGGCCATGCCTTTAACTTTATTGAAATTCAATTGAAGTTTTTATAAAGAA